ACTCCTATCTATTGCAAGTAACCTACTTTCGACATCAAGTTGGAAGCATTCAAAGAAGTTGGTGATGTTCGGACACAGTCCAGGTTTGAAATTTAGAACAGAAACTGGTGGACGAAACTACACATATGAAACCAATGAAGGATGATAATGCAGGAAAGTTAGTTAACACCAAAGAGGAGAAACAAAGGAAACGATGGGCTGTCGAAAACCGACAACTGAAAATCAGTTTTTATTTTTTGTTCTTTAGGTTCCTAGTGGAGCAAAGGGCTTCGGTAGCACGTCACCATCTCACTCTACTCTCTTCAGTCTTTTCAAAGTGGCAACTCCACTGCCCACAGGATTTCATTTCTTCCTCACATGACCTCCTCCATGTCATCCTCACACGCCCAACTCGTCGTTTCCAGTTTCGACTCCACTCGAAGGTCTTATCTGAGGCCCGATGTCCCCAAACTGTCTTCTCAGTTTATGTCCAGTGCAATCCATCTCCATTTTTTACTATATATTTGTTGAGCTGTAGGTTATTGGTTAGTCCGTTGTTGGCCAACCAGAATTCATTGTTGCTTATTCTTATTATTCTGCCCATCTCATCAATTTTCAGTATCGAGTGAGTTTAGGTGGTAGCTGTTGGTGTATGTCTGTAGTTTGTTGAAAATGCTTCTGCAATGGTGGTTTGAGCATGTCTGCTGATGTCTCTATTTCTGGCGGAATTCCATCTTTCTGTCCTGCTGTTTTCCGAGATTTCCGCAACTTTATGGTGTGGTGTTCAGCACTTCACCTCTGCTTTTGTCATAGGGTTTGGGTTCACTGATAGTCCTGTGGCTGGTCTGCTGGTGGTATTTCAGGACGAGATGAAGTTGTTGTTGGTGGAGGTGGTGGGGGTCGACGCAACAGTTTTTTGAAGTGGTCAGCCCATCATTTTCTTTGTTTCTCCTTTTTGGTGTTAACTAAGTTTCCTTCACTATCATCTTTCATTGGTTTCATGCGTGTTGATCTCTTCCCTGTCAGATAGTACTCTGGTTATTCGGTATAATATTGCCGCGTCTCTTTACCTGCATCCAGTTCTGTAGGGACCTGAAAAATGCTAATAACCATCCAGCCGATTTCAATTAATTCAACTGGAAATGAATTTATTTTGCAGACAGCCTATCCACATTTGTTAGCTATGTGTCAGAAACTGGGACATTTAACCAAAACATCAGATGAAATCACATTGGAAACTATTAGGTAATCAAAAGACTTACCATAATCCTCAATAAATTATTTCCTAGGCTCTAAATTACAACTAACTCTTCTTCTACTCATTGTATTTAGGTCAAAAAACTTTGGATAACAGTCGAAACTAACCTAAGGAGATTTTGATGACCTAAAATTGCTAAGTTGAAAGTGTCACGAGAAATTACAATTTGTGCATTTAATTAATTCTTGCACACAGGCCCAGTCATCTAATTAAAATTCATCAAAATGATTGTTCTCGAAATTTGATGAAAAAAGCACATATGCCATAGGTGGTTTTTTCAGTCATGTTACATTGACTGGCTAATTAGTAGATTCATTTATAAAAGATCAACGAGCTACGTCACTGGTCAGACATCTCTGAGGTATGAGACTTAACACAGCTTACTTGCTACACACTCTTTAAGGTGTCCAGTGATGTCGTAAGACGTGACTAAGTTAAGTTGCACCACCTGTAGAGACGTAATGATGTTTCTTAAGTTAACTGGTCACACTAGTACGTAGGAGTCTCAAGAAGAATGCAGGACTGATCAGTGAGGGTTTGTGGATATCTTGAAAACGTCTGGTTTTTTAGGGTTTTACTGTCGCGTAACTGGAGTGTAAAGCATCAGATGTCTACGTAACACAGAAGTTTGAAATTTAGCTTTTCCCAGCAGATCACCTTTGGTTAGCATGAGAGTATTTCTATCCTTTGTTTTAAAATGAAGTGAAAAAAGATAGAAAATATTAAAAATGACTTCCTCTGATATCTATAGCTCAAATGGTAGCTAAGTTACCGTTAGAAAGTTTGTAGATTGTCAGAGACATGCTAACGATGATGCCTTGTCTCTGCTGACTTGTTTAAACACCGATTTTATAACTGTCGTTCTCAACAGCGTGGTTGTGAAGTCTTTTGAAAAGAAGTAAACCTTAAGAAGCTTGTAGAAAGTGAGGCCATGCAGCCCTAAATCGTTTTCAACAATTAGTTCTATCTATCATCTTGAAAATATTTCAAAAACAAACCACTAAACTTCCTAATGTAATTACTTTAATGCTTGTAGTAAGTGTATCATATTAGGTTCAAATCGTGTTCCCCTCTTCCAAGAGGTAAAATATTACTCCTCACTTTTCAAGTTGGTATTCATCATCGACTGACATCAATTAGCTGAGCATTTAGAACCTAGAAACACTGGACAGGTAGTTCGTTCTAGTCAGGAAATCCTCAGCAGTGCGCACCCATCACCTTGCATCACCAAGGGTCGAACCCAGCGCCGCCAGGTTCTGTGACCAGCACGTAACCATTGAGCCACTGGGTTGGGACCCGATGGTCCATATTTCCAATTTGTATCAGTGCCACCATCATCCAGTGTCATCGCTGAATATTTGTCCATGCGATGATGGTGGCGCTATGCCATGAACTGACAGAAGCCGGGACTACGGGCAATTAGATTCCGATCCAGCGGCTCAGTGGTGACGTGCTAGTCACGAAATCTGGATGTGCTGGGTTCGATCCCTGGTGGTTGAAGTTGATGGATGCGAACTGCTGAAGAGTCCCATGCTGGAACGAAACAGCTGTCCAGTGCTCCTACGTTTTAAATGTTCCTTGAACTGATATCATTTCATGATGAATACCAACTAGAAAAATCACTAAATCCCCAGATTCGACTCATTATTTTCAGCGACACTCCAATCAAATAAATAACAATTAGAGCCGGATGCCAGCATTTTTCCTACACTTTAGCCTTAAAAAGGACTAATCCAGCTGCTAAATGAATCACACTACGCCGAACTAATTACTAACTGAGACAGTCAAAGACTTACAAGTTCCCGCTTCATGTTACCTCGAACTGCATATACCAGTTCACATGTACTTGTCAAAGCACATACATTGAACGAACATTAAAAAGAGCTTACGACTTCTCAAAGCTTTAACTCCCAACACCCTTGTACTGGAGACCCTTATATCCTACTTCCTAGAAAAACAAGAAAATCTAAGTAAGAATCCAGATGTACAAATGACACCTACCTCATCAACAGTTACCCTCCTAAATTAATTGATAAGTTCCTTAGGAATCGTATGTAAAATACCAGCAACAGGGGTGTTGAATTAATGATACTAATGTTAATAATAGTGGTAGCAATGTTGCGAAGAAAGAATTCAAAACCTCTGCAGTATTTACCGTACAAAGAAGGGAAATGAGAAACTATTCAGGATTCTCAATAAAGCTGGGTGGGATTACAGCAGCATTTAAATCTACAAACTCATTTAGAGATAAGCTTTCTGGGTTGAAAGAACCCAGTGATCCAACTGAGCAGAATAATTTAGTTTACCAAGTAAATCCCTTGCAACGATTATGAGGTCAGATACACAAGTCAAAGTAGTCGGCCAGGCTCAATTTGGCTATGCGAGCACAAAACCTGACTAGGTCAGAGCTAGTTGATCCTAGTAAGATCAGGAATTTAAAGACAAGCTCAGCCATAGCTATGCATGCGCTTACATAAAACCACACAGTAGGATGGAACAGGGTGAAAATTCTTAAAACTAACATAGAGGGATGGAAGGAGAGATTGATAACTGAATCTTTGTTTATCGAATCAACACGCAATATGTGCAAACAGTAATGACTCAGTACCCATTCTATAAATATGGAAAATTCAACCACGCATATCACAAAAGAGGTGAAGGAATTAGGAGCATACAAAGGATGTCTCAAAGTTATGTAGTTATTTTGATATGAATATGGAAAATAACTTGTGTTCGAAAAGCTATTTAGTTAACGATACCGTCTCAGTGTATTACACTTCTAATAAATCAACTTAAATGAAACCTCCATATGTGGTTTTAAGCTTGCTAACCTTTTCTCTTGGTTTAGTGTACAGTAACATTCACTCTCGACACCAGTTAACCCAGTGGCATAGACTGATACCCAAGCATTATTATCAGTAGCCACAAGCAATAGCTTCAAAGTTAGTTGACACCAGTGGTCATGAGTACATACGTCCAATAGACCCTATCATCCCATCACTGATTGAACAAAATCGATAGGTCTCCATTTGTGAATTCCTCGATATTGCCTGTGGTTTTAATTTAGTAGTAATGATGAACAGTGGCAAGCAATTGGAATCCAGGTACATCCAGCTGACGTGTCTTAAGTAGGAAGAAACGCACGTCCTAGATTCCACTGCTACTTATTATCCATCATTATTCCCTATAGAAATGTTTCAATTTCTTCCCTTCTCAGAAATAAAATCTTGTTTACTTTCTCTCATGTGGTTATGTTATTCTTCAGTCTAAAATGAAGTGAATCCCAGCATGAGTTAAATTGTGCTTATCTATGCAGACAGAATACTCTTATAAATATACAGACAATGAGGTCATATGTATAAGGTTTCAGATCTATTTATGTCTCTACTTATTCACCACCACAGATGGTTTCCTTCAGGCTTATTTCTTGTTACTTCAAATGTTGCTTTCTAACACTTGTTTATGCATTGAACAACTAGTCACTTATAAACTTACACACACGAATATGCTTACATTCATTCTGTTTCGTTTTGACACATAGCTATGCATGCAATTATAGGCAGAAAGAGAAATAGACAGCATATGTATACCGTGTAAAGTGACTAGGAAAACAAACATCAACCTGTTGAACTTCGATCTAGATAAAATATTGCACTACTGAAAGAATAGTTATTTGCTTTCTCTTTTTTTAATGAAACAGAATTTTATTGGTCAAATTCAATATTTATACTCTATAAATATGCCTAAATGCAAGTTCATTCCTATTCACCAAACGTTTTCTTACACATACAAACATGCACATTCATTCAATGTTACAATGATTCGTGAACATTGAACAAGTCCAATTTGTTACTGGAATACATTAGCGATTTGAAAGAAAATCTAACGGAATTCATTATCATCATAATGATTAAAAGTTGCTAAATTCATGGAAGTAAGCTCTTTTAAAATATCACATATTGTTTGCAGTCAATGGATTTAACAATTATCATGATTTATTTTATCAGCATGAAGGAATGAAAAACCATCATGCTTTCTAGTAGATTTTATTGAAATACTTGGACAAGAAAGTTTATTACAATGTATATACATCGACTTCATTAGCTTTGGTTAAGATGAAACGGTATCACCGGTAACAATAGGCGGTAAAGTCGTTGAGTGCACTGAACGCTTTACTTACCGGGAAATCTAAATCAACCCTGGTAGGTCAGGAGTTGACGAAATTTCCTCACGGATACAAAAGGCTTGGCTATCTTCTGCCACTTTACACCATCTGTGACCCCACCACCGTGACATACGATTACCTATTAGGGGTCAAGTATACTATGCTGCAGTTCTCTCTGTTCTACTGTTAGCCTGTAAAACATGGTGATTAAAGGAGGGGGACATGAGCAAGCTTCTGGCTTTTGACCACAGTTTATTTCATAGGATATACCGTGTCATGATGTCACCTGTTTAGTAACGCAGAAGTCAGGTATAGAGTCTTAGAAAGGAGAAGAAAGTCAGTGGATAAGGTCGTGAACCTTCATCGACTCACTTTGCTAGAAAATGTGTTATGCATACCTAATCACCGTATTTATCGTCGTTTAATACTAGCTGAGGTATATTCAGGCTTGAGAAAGACTCAGGGCGGCTAGATTAAAGCATGGCATCACTGCATGAAGTGTTTGGCTGTAGGAGATTTAGACTGGGCAGTTGAGGTTCACGTGGTCACAAAAACCGGTGGTTGGTGACTCTAAGTTATATAGCTATAAATCGATGTCAGTTGAACAGATGTTTTCACACATTATCTTCATCTTAACCTCTTTACTGAATTCAGCACTTTCTTATTCTTTATTACCGTCTTTTACCGCCTTCGACTGTTTATGATAGACTCTTCTTTATTTCTTCATCCTTGATTACATTGCTTTGTTACTTGCTGTGGAGATATGAAGCGTGTCAATTTGGACGGTTACTCAGCAATACTTGGTCTTATGGTAATACTAATGAAGATAATGAGGACGGAACGAAGTTATTTTTTATTCACCATTCTTATAACTGTTACTGAAAATGCACTGCGTTATTCCACCTTCTATTTTGTATGTACTTCTTTCAGAGCTGAATACATCTGGATATATTTTAAGAGGCACAAGAGGCAGTCGGATTAGAGGACAAAATGTGTAGGGCAAGATGTAAATGCTGTGGAGAAATCTTCAACTTGGCACTTTCGTGACACAGCTATCAATATCAATCTAGTCACCATCTTTATTCTGATCAAAAAAAAATTTAAATCTCTTTTATTCATAAATTTCTCAAGTCGCTTTGATTACAACATCACAACACACAACATCACAACATCATTACAACATCACACTGGATGACACGGGTTTGAATCTCAGGCGGGACAACATTTCCTTCGAGGTATAAAGTACTCCCTGTTGATGAGCACCAACAAGCGTGGAGCTTAGATCAATCAAGGCTTCCTGGCGATTTCCTCCAAACTGTCACGTTTCAACATTGATCACCCAAAACTCTGGTTTAACGAAAAAGCCACTAGGAACCGATATTATCTTTAGACCTAGGTCAACTTTTGTACTCAAAGAACAGAGAAGTACTTGTGGTAAATACAATTACTGGGTCGTCTTTTAGGTGAAAATGAAGATTTATTGGGTGAAATAAAAATATATACCCTAACTGCCAGGATATTTTCATAAAGAAATGAACTGATAGGTTTTGAAACCTCCTGACTTCATTTTTTGACTGAACATAGGGTATGGGTTAGTTTAACAGTCCTCAAGAGGTATCCAGAAGGTACTGATGAGAGTTCTTGGTTTCTTAACCAAGTCAGCAGCAAGATATATCACTGCAGTAAACTCTATGCCTTATTAGAAGACGGTCCAAGTTGAAAGTCTTTACCACTGTACCGAGGACAAAGACTAATTTTTTTCACCAGAGCGCTTCATAGCCTAATGTTTAATTTAAGTAGTATCTGTTTCAATGATTTTCATTTTGTTGGTTAGATTTTAACATGTCTCATGAAGAATAAATACTTTTCTGAATCAACTCATTATCAAATTGATTGATAGACTGACTGTTAGAGTAGACATACTTTTCATTCGCCTCATCTATACAAACTTTCATATTTCGCATTGTAGTGGGACTCCTATAGGAAAAAAATCGAATTTTTTGCATATTTTTAGAATCAACCATGTTGATAGAATTAAATGAACTTTTTGTTTTGTTATACGCCTAAATCTGTAGAAAAAAACCTATAGATAAAGGAACTTAGTTACGTCATATTCGCCACATTTCTGTAAAATGAAGATTTTTTGTCAGCCTAGTATAAACGATTATTGTTACTACATAAAATACAGAGCCACTGTGAATTTTGAGTTAGAAATAAACTTTGCATTCATAGATTTACTAGTTCCTATTGCTTTTCGTGATTTATGATGTATTTTTGAATAATCGTTAGCGATCAGCAATCACAACGCTCACAGAAATGAACACTAAGCCGTTTGAACTGCAAGTACAAGACCGGATATATTATTAAACAAGTCTCCTCATAAGAATTTCATATAAATCATAAAGTGGTCTGCTCATTTCGCATAATGAAGTGTTGATTAGTTTAACAGGTAGGTGTAGAATGGACCAAGATGCGAGCATTTTTTCTTCGTGGTTAGATATCATGAGATAGTGGATAGCTGTTTTGTCCATGTTATGAACCCTGTGAAGGACGGAGACCTAGGTTATTAAGCTAAGCGAGGTCGTTATTTGCAATACAGTATTACGACTACTATTAGTTTATTTGTCCTTTGAGTTCCTGGTGGAACACAGAGCTTCAATAGCACGTCGCCATTTCACTCTGTTGTCTGCAGTCTCTCAACCTGGCTACACCAATCTCAATAAGACTTCATTTCTTTCTCACACAGATTCTTCCGTGTCACCCTCACATGCTCAACTCATCGTTTCCCATTTCGGCTCCACTCAACGGTCTGACGCGTGATGTCCCCAAACGGTCTTCTCAATGCAGGTCCAATCTAATCCATCTCCACTTTCTTCTTCTGCATATTTATCGGACAATAGCTTCTTAGTTGGTTGGTTGGTTGGTTGGTTGGTTCGTTGTCATCGAGGCAGAGTTCCTAGTTGCTTATTCTTATTATTCTGGCCATCTGATCTGATCTACAGTGTCGAGTGAGTTTAGCTGGCAGCTGTTGATGTGATTTGTGTCTGTAGTTTGTTGGAAATGCTTTGCGTGACGCGCCAAGCCTCTCTCAACCATCATCTAGAAACACTGACTTGACTGATATTAGGGGCGTTGAAAATCCGGATCTCGTTCACACTTCATGCTGAGTTCAGTAGATTTATGAAGGCCTGTCTTGCTGTCTCTTTGATCCTGACTGGACACGCTCATCTGTGCCTGTTCCGCCTGTAGTTGAAACGATGCTGCTTAGGTAGGCAGGTATGTGGAAGAGACTACTTCTTTCAGATTTCTCCCGTTCATGGCGATTAGTGATTGGTGCTTCTTGTTGTTGTTTTTGTTGTTGGTTGGGTACCTTCATTATCTCTGTCTTCTCTACAAGTCTCTGAACCATCTAGAAATGCTGACTTGTGCTTAGTTAAAGGCTTAATAAATAACCGTATAAATCTCACAATGCAGTAAATTTCCTCTTTCTGTGCTTATTCTGAAGTAGTACATTACAGTTCACTCTAGTCCGCATTGATGGTATGCTTCACTACATGAATCCCCGAGTTTTAAAGTAAAGTTGTGACCGGTGGACCCAGCCGTGTTAAACATGGAAACAGTCACTTAACAAGAGCATTGAATGGAGGCCGCACTATATCGTGAACTGGGGGAATCAGGAAACGCAGATCACTGAATTCACACCCACTTGTTCAACTGTAAGGGGCTGGTCGCGGAACCTGAAGGTCCTGGGCTCGGTCCTACGTAGTATCATGGGTGCCGGCTGATGAGAAGTCCCATACTAGGACCAAAACAGTTGTCTATTGCCCTCAGATTTTTGATGTTTCTCCTCATAAACCTACAAATTAGAAATAAGCAAAGATGAGACTATACCTCGACCTCCCAAAGAATGATGTATTTTACTAGAAGGAAACACTATCTTTAGGCAATACATATAGGAAATTAATTAAAATTTACCAGATATAACTGCAAACTGCTCAGTTGTACAAAGCAATTTTTCGTTCCTATGAAACGAAACCGACGAAGATGATGAAGATACTCAACCAACAACAGTCTCTTCCACCTACCTAGGTAGCATCGTTTCAATTACAGGTGGCGGCATAGACCAGGATGTGAAAACCAGAATCCAGAAGACACCAAGACAGGCTTCCACTAATCTGAAATCAGTGTGAACATCTACTGAAATAAGAACAAAGAGTTAACAAGATCTGGATTTTCAACACCAATTCAGTCAAGTCAGTGCTGCTATGTGATGGTTCAGAAACTTGACGTGTCACGAAAAGCATTCCCAAACAAACTACAGACATCATACATCAACAGCTGCCTACACTCGATACTGAAGATGGTGATGAGATGGTCAGAAAGAATCAGGAATAACGAACTCTAGCCTACCAACGAACAAACCAATAACCTATCATCCAACAAATATGCAGAAGAAGAGAGTGGAGATGGATTGGGCAAAAACTGAGAAGGCCGACTGAGGACACCATGCGACAGGCACTCGAATGGAATTCAAATGGGAAACGGCAAGTTGGGCTTCCGGGGTGAGGGTGACATGGAGGAGATGATGTGAGGAAGAAATGAAAGCTTGTGGGCAGTGGTGGGGTGAGGCTGAAAAGACTGCATAGAAGAGAGTGTAATGGAGGCGTGCTACTGAAGTCGTATGTTCCACTAGGAACCCAAGGGAAAAATAATATAATAATAATAGTGAAAAGAAACCATTTAAACAGTCTTTTTATTATAATACAATC